GATTATGGGCCATCAGCGGTGTGTCCGTAGATGGCTGATGAGACCGATGTTAGCACGGAATGTTCTGCCACATACTGAACAGAGAAATGTGGACACTATTGCTTCAGCATTTGCAGCTCTGGCTTTACGGAGTGCTCGCTTCTCTTGTGCCAAGATTGTCCTTCTGTGTTCATATGTCTGGCACCCCTGGTAAACCAGGCTACGCCATGTCGGTCGATCATGCGCCAAAAATTCCCAAGAGATGGTGTCGATATCCAGGGACTTGAGAGATGCTTTCAGCGTGTCTTTGTATCGCTTCTTTTGTCCCCTGTGCGATCGCTTTCCTTGAGACAGCTCACCATAGAAGAGCTGTTTAGGGATGCGATGGTCTGGCATCCTTACAACGTGGCCTGCCCAGCGCATCTGGGCTTTCATCAACAGAGTGTAAACTGATGGTAGGCCTGCTCTGGAGAGGACATCTGTATCTGGTATCTTATCCTGCCACCGGATCCTCAGAATTCTACGAAGACAAGTCATGTGGAAGTAATTCAGTTGCCTGACGTGCCTCCTGTACACTGTCCAGGTCTCACTAGCATACAATCAAATGGCCTTACGAAAGGCAGAAAACGATCTCAAACCTAAAAAAAGAAGTGAACATACACGTACGCAAATACGCACGGCTATTAATTGACAAGTTTGTGTACGTACGTAACGAGAGGTCAGAATGAAATGCGGGATGTCGAAATAACAGGAAGAAAAGTACAACAGTAGTGGAATAAAACAACATGAAATGCCAGTCAGGTCATAACCTCAAGTAGAAAGAATTGCACAATTCAAGAGTCCAATAACAATTTTTTTTCCTGGAATCTGAATCACTGTTATTGTTATCATTCCAAGATTAATGGCAAGATTTATGATTGTCTCCGCACAGCATTTGAGGCACAATCAATCCAGCTTTCTCTATTCTGAGCGTTCCCAGTAGTGTTGAACTGCCTTGCCCATGTTGGCTGGGGACGATAGACTTTGTACTTCACAGCCCCCAAGCTGTAACCCGTGCATTTATCTCTTCGGGTTTCTGCTGGAGAATTCAAAGCCTGCCTTCCTGAGGCAAAAGAGGGTTTAGACTTGAGATGTCAGATGATAAATCCGCTTCTTTATATTTCAAGAGATAAGTTGAAAAGATCTTGCTTTACATCAAAAGCTAGCTGTTATCTTTGTCTTCTAGGGGGAGGGAAAAAAACCCTCAAATGCAGATAGTGGTGAGACTGAAAGAAATCAGAGTTTTTAAGGAAACTCACAGCCAACATTTTGGTTGTTTGGTTTCCAGTTTCTTTCTGACATCTTGTCATTCACAAGAGAGAAAATCCTGCTTGCCTTTGACAGGTAGTAAATACATTGACAGCCGTCGCTGAAAAATATTGATCAGGCTACTGTATCAATAATTTAATTTCTGTTCCCACTGCGTAAGGCGGTTTGCAAGAGAATAATAAAACACAGGTTATATAAAGCCAAGGGAATTATCCGTGCAAGTGTGTGTGTGTTTGCTTCTGCTGCTAAGGAGACCTGGAAGGGATTGAGAAATATGGGGCTGGGGAATTCTGGGAGTTGAAGTCCACGTATCTTAAAACTGCCTAGGCTGAGAAATAATAATCTTCTAGGCTATTAAAAATATACATATTTCTGCAATCATTTCAGCTCAATACAATATTTCTTTTCAAGAGACAAGAACATACAGTAGAATATCTTCTACCTAACACAGGGCACTCTTTTTTGGAGTTTCTTTGAATTTGATCTCCAACTCATGCACGCATTCTGCAGTCTGTCTGTCTGTCTGTCTGTCTGTCTGTCTGTCTATCTGTCTGTCTGTCTATCTATCTATCTGATTCTATCCCTATATCAATCATTTATCATCTAGCCATTGATCATTTATCTATCTTTATTCTATTTATCTATCTATCTATCTATCTATCTATCTATCTATCTATCTATCTATCTATCTATCTATCCACCGATCATTTATCTCTTTATTTAAGATTTAAGATTTATTTCATTTATTTCATTTATTTCATTTCATGATTTGTATGATTCTATATTTATATCAATCATTTATTTATCATCTATCCACTGATCATTTATCTATCTTTATGATTCTATGATTCTATTTATCTCTACCTACCTACCTACCTATCTGATTCTATGATTCTATCTCTATATCAATCATTTATTTATCATCTATCCACCGATCATTTATCTATCTTTATGATTCTATGACTCTCTCTCTCTCTCTCTCTCTCTCTCTCTCTCTCTCTCTCTCTCTCTCGTCCATCCATCGTATCCATCCATCTCTATTAGATTTGTGTGCCGTTCATCTCCCCTGGAGGCGGCTTACAATAACAATAAAAACCGGTAAACATTAAAATGATGATGGAAGAAACAGCAACAGTAACAACAGTGTCCACATAACGAAAGGAAGCGGAACTGCATGACTGCCCGCCTTGTTGCTTGGGGGGTCCGTTCCTGACGGCGGACTGCTACATCCGAAGGGAGCGGACCATAGAGTTGGGCAAGCGTGGAAGAGGAGCACCTGGCTTCCGGCGCTTGGAAAAGAGGGAATGAAGCCGCCAGGGACCTGGCCGGAAGTAGGGCACAGCTGCCAACTCGCCATGCGGCTATTGCTGCTGGCTCCCGGGCGAGCCCAGACGGGCAACGGCACCACCGCCCGGAGGATCCAGTAAGTGGCCCCCCTCCCCATGCCCGGCTTTGCACCCCCAGCCCGATCCCCCTCTCTGCAGCGCTGTTTAAGACGTGGAGGCGGGTAGGCAGGCGGGAGTTCGTCCGGTGCAGCCGGGCAGGTATTTATGCGTGTGTACGTGCATGCATCAAAATGCTTGTGCATAAGATCAGACATTTACTGGGGGATGCTCAGGAGTGGAAAGGGAAGCCTGTGTTGCTGGCTGGGTGCACTAAAATTAAAACATAGGAAGAACGGTTGCAGGAATTGGGTACGGCCAGTCTAGAGAAAAGAAGGACTTGGGTGGGGGGGGGGGACATGATCGCAGTCTTCCAGCGTTTGAGGGGCTGCCACAAAGAAGGGGTCAAATTATTCTCTAAAGCACCAGAGGGTAGGACAAGAAGCAATGGATGGAAACTGATCAAAGAGAGAAGCAAGCTGGAATTGAGGAGAAACTTCCTAACAGTGAGGACAATCAACCAGTGGAACAGCTTGCCACCAGAAGTTGTGGGTGCTCCATCACTGGAGGTTTTAAAGAAGAGTTTGGACAGCCACTTGTCTGAAATGGTCTAGGGTCTCCTGCTTGAGCAGGGGGTTGGACTAGAAGACCTCCAAGGTCCCTTCCAGCTCTATTCTGATTGATTGATTCATTGATTCATTGTTTCATTGATTGATCGAAGTGGTCTAGGGTCTCCTGCTTGAGCAGGAGGTTGGACTAGAAGACCTCCAAGTTCCCTTCCAGCTCTTTTCTGATTGATTGATTGATTGATCTGCCAAACCTGGTTCAGGAGACCTAAGTTGCTGTTTGACCTACTGGGCTAAACCTGGTGAATGATTGCCTGGGTTTAACCCTTTCTGGGCTTACAGGGTGTGCATCTAGAGGGTGAATCTGAAATGGAGTAATCGGATTGTGGGCATGTAACTTTTTGGATTTATTTTGTATTCTGGCTACTTATTTTGTGTTCACAGTGGTTATTTTGTCTTCTGGATACTGTAGCTCGTATTTTCTCTATTGATATGCATTTCAACAAAGATGTCAAACAATGGGTATTTGTGTGTGCATAATACACCTATCTTATTGGAAGTGTTTGCATCTTAGCTTGGCCTGTGTGTTGATTCTATACACATGTATTTGCAAGACCGCCTCCTACCAAACACCTCCCTTCGACCAGTCCGCTCCCACAGAGAGGGCCTCCTTAGGGTGCCGTCGGCCAGTCAATGCCGGCTGGCGACCCCCAGGGGGAGAGCCTTCTCTGTGGCAGCTCCTGCCCTCTGGAATGACCTACCCCCCGACCTACGTACAGTTGCGGACCTGCGCCTCTTCCGCCGAGCCCTGAAAACTCATCTATTTCGTGCGGCCGGCCTGGCGTAGTCTTAATTATGTTTTAGTACATGTTTTATATGGGGTATTTTAGAGCAGGCCTTTATTTATTTAATCTGATTTTAGAATATATATTTATTGTGATTTTTATTATCGCCTGTTCACCGCCCTGAGTCCCGTAAGGGAGATAGGGCGGTATACAAATTTAAATAAACATAAACATAAACATGTAAACATGGCATTGTCTCCAACAGCCACATTCAAGAACTTTTGAACTTTGTTGAAAAACACGTCTGAGCATGTTGTAGACAGCCAAGAAAACAAGTGAAACGATTATCAAGCAAATTCTTTTCCCACCCAACTTCTTGAAAGTCCATAGAATGCCGCAAGGAATATCACAGCTTACATGAGAACAGGTTTTTGATATTCCTAGTGGGAAAAAGTTCCATTGCTCAAATACAATCAATGCTGGAGGGAAAATGTTTGGTGCAATTTCTGGAAATCTCAGAAAAATTGCATATTCTCTCTGTGCGCTAGAAAACACAATGGTGGTATTTTTTCCCCCTTCGGCTGCTAATACATCTCCTGAGTCTCATTAGGAAATTAGTTTCAAATCACTGGCAGTTTGCAAGCCTATTAATATGAGCAAATTAATCAGTGGAACAACTTGTCTCCGGAAGTGGTGAATGCTCCAACACTGAAAGTTTAAAGAAGAGATTGGACAAGCATTTGTCTGGAATGATATACAGTTTCCTACTTGAGCAGGGGGTTGGACTAGAAGACCTCCAAGGTCCCTTCCAACTCTGTTGTTCTGCTAAGTTTAAAATTAAATGAATGCCGTGATTGTTAAACGAACTCATTCCTTTGTTGCTCTGGATAGCGAGATGGGTGGTGTGTAGATTTTAATATGTAAATAATAATTTTGAATTGGTGTTTTTCTTCTGGAAAAGAGGAAAAATTGCTGAAAGCCAGCAAACATTCCTTGAAGTCGTGGGTGCTCCATCCCTGGAGGAGAGACTGGATCAGCCATTTGTCTGAAATGGTATAGGGTTTCCTGCCTAAGCAGTGGGTTGGACTAGAAGACCTCCAAGGTCCCTTCCAGCTCTGCTTTATTCTATTCTATTCCGTTCCACATAGAACAGTTGAGGATTCTGAGGTTGGAACACAACCGGTATAGAATGGCTGTAAGAATGTAAATCGTGGTTATTGGTACAATGGAAAGAAAGACAGAAAATTCCGACTTCTGTTGTAGTGGAACCTGGAAATCCCTGCATCTATTTGTGATGAGGTCAATGTGATCGCCATTTGTACCCTCAACTGGCTTCCAACAAGCAAAGTCAATGGGAGAAGCCTGACTCGCTTAACAGCTGTTCGATTCATTTAACAACTGCAACTGATTTGCTTAACAACTGTGGCCCCCCCAAAAATGGTTGTAAAATTGGGTGCGTCTTACTTAAGCGCCTTGCTTAGCAACGGTAATCCTGTTCACAGTTTTGATTGTAAGTTGAGGACTAGTTTTAGAAGAGGGGTCTTCAAACTTGGCCCTTTGAGAACTTGTGGACTTCAACTCCCAGAATTCCTCAGCCAGCGTGCCTGGCTGAGGAATTCTGGGAGTTGAAGTCCACAAGTCGTCAAAGGGCCAAGTTTGAAGACCCCTGTTCTAAAACTTCAATGGTCTTATTTCCTGCAGAAATTAAATGCTAATATCCTGTCTTTTTTATTATTATTATTCCATCTGCGCCTGTTTTCCAAAGAGATCATTTACAAGCTGCAGGGCATTTGTGTCTCTTGAGGGATACCTCTGATTATGAGTCCCCGTTGGCAATTTCGAATCTCATCTCTTCGGAGAAATTGGAGGCAGCTCTGGGCATCCATCTCTTTAAAGCTGGGAGGCTTCTTCAAGGTAAGATAAAATCTCTTGGTCTCCAAAGGGGTGGGAAACATTGGAAAAAGCCCAAGTTACCTCTCTAAAATACTAGTGGTATAGCTTTGATAAGTCTGTTATAACTGGGCTGCTATAATATGCATAGCCCCTAGGTGGCAGCAGCGACCTAAGAGTTTTCTGTATTGCTCTGCTGCCCTCTAATGCTTATTTGGACGTTTTGCAGTGTGGATCTGTTCTTTGGCCCAAACACAGCCCAAATCTTTTCCGTTGACTTGAAAACGCCATTTTAACTGGAGAATGAGACCAGGATTCAACCGAAGCCATCTGTTGATTGTTCCTCTCCAAGAGATGCTTTTAATTGGCATTTCAACATTAGTCCACTTACTGCTTTCCTGTCTGCCTGCATCCCCCCCCCCCTCAACTGCTGCTGTCCAGAGATGCTGGCCCATCTCACCCACCTGTGAGAGGGACCTCGGAGTCCTAGTGGACAATCACCTAAATATGACCCAGCCGTGTGCTGCAGCTGCCAAAAAGGCCAACACAGTGCTAAGCTGCATTAACAGAGGGATAGAATCAAGATCACGTGAAGTATTAATACCACTTTACAAGGCCTTGGTAAGGCCACACTTGGAATCCTGCATCCAGTTTTGGTCACCGTGATGTAAAAAAGATGTTGAGGCTCTAGAAAGAACGCAGAGAAGAGCAATAAAGATGATCAGGCTAAAACATATAAGGAACAGTTGCTGGAATTGGGAATGTCTAGTTTAATGAAGAGAAAGACGAGGGGGGGCATGATAGCAGTGTTCCAATATCTCAGGGGCTGCCCCAAAGAAGAGGGAGTCAAGCTATTCTCCAAAGCGCCTGAAGGCAGGACAAGAAGCAACGGGTGGAAACTAATCAAGGAGAGAAGCAACCTTAGAACTGAGGAGAAACTTCCTGACAGTGAGAACAATTAACCAGCGGAACAACCTGCCTCCAGAAGCGGTGAATGCTCCAACACTGGAAGTTTTTAAGAAGAGATTTGGGCAGCCATTTGTCCGAAATGGTATAGGGTTTCCTGCCTGAGCAGGGGGTTGGACTAGATGACCTTCAAGGTCCCTTCCAACTTTACTATTATTATTATTATTATTATACCTCTCCAGCAAAGCAGAACATTTGAGAACAGCTGGTAAAATAGGTCACGAATTCCTCCGCCAGCTCTGACGCCAGTTTACCTGATTCCTTTTTAACAAGTGAACTCATTCTACCTAGAATTTGAAAGCGGGGCTTGTTCCTAATTAGCTGCCATCACCGCTGCTTAATGGAGTGTTAAAACTGCCCAGTTAATTGTGTCTCCCTTCCCCTCCCACTCTTCTAACGTTTGTTGTTGTTGTTGTTTTTTTTAAAAAAGGAGAGAGGTTTATAGTTGTGTTAGCATCACTGCTTTTGAGCCCCAAGGATGCTTGATCTGAAAAGACACAATGCAAATGTAACAACAAGGCTGGCATGGTAGAATAGGTTTGAGAGGAGAGCTGGCTTCCATTTAGCCAGACAAAAGGCGATCTGAGACGGCCTGTCTTGGATTCCCGTTTGAAAAAAGCACTTAGCCTGGCTCAAAGCATCTTCTCCTTTAAAGAAAGGAACACCAGGACGAAGATTTAAAAGAAAGATGGTTAAATACAGGCGGTCCTCATTTAGTGACTGCCTTGCTTAGTGACCGTTTGCAGTCACAGCGGTGAGGGGAAAGGTAACGTTGCAACCTGCCCTTGCATTGATAACTTTTGCAGGTCCGTTAAGCGAAGGAAGGAGGGAACCGGATCGTCAGCGCCGCCATGTTTCGCTCAGTGATTGTTTCGCTTAATGACCAAATGGGTGGTCCCAATTGTGGTTGCTACAATAAGGACGACATACGGAAGAAAGCAAGTTAGAAATCGTCCTTAGAAAATTCAAAACCCAGAGGTCAAATGAAAGAAAGTCCTCAGATTACAACAATGGGACCGGAATTTCCATTGCTCATTTTAGGACTTTCTTTTTTTTCTTTTGCTGTGGTTGTTAAGCAGATCTTCAGTTGTTAAGTGAAACATGTCATCATTAAGCAAATCTGGTTCCTTCCACTGATTTTGCTGGTTGGCTGGGAAGATCACCAATGGCGATCAGGTGACCCTATTTGCAACGGTCTTGTAAATCCGTACCGGTTGCCATTTTTAATTTTGAGCGTGTGTCCACGGGGATGGTACTAATGGTTGTAAGTGCAAGGGCCAGGCGTAAGTCACTTTTTGCAATGTCATTGTAACTTTGAACCGTCACTAAATGAATGGTTATAAGCAGTGGTGGGATTCAGCCAGTTCGCATCGGTTCGGTAGAACCGGTAGCTAAATTTTGCTGCATTTGGAGAACTGGATGGCTTCCAGAAGTCCAGTCTAGGCCTCGGAGGCCTGCAGGAGGCCTCCCAGGCCTAGAACGGCGTATCAGAAGTGCATGGATGCCACTTCCGGAAGTCCGTTCTAGGCCTCAGAGGCCCGGAGGAGGCCTAGAACAGCCCACCGGACGTGCATGGATGCCACTTCCGAAAGTCCATTCTAGTCCTCGGAGGCCTGGAGGAAGCCTAGAATGGCCCATCGGAAGTGCATGGATACCACTTCCGGAAGTCTGTTCTAGGCCTCGGAGGCCTGGAGGAGGCCTAGAACGGCCCACCGGAAGTGCATGGATGCCACTTCCGGAAGTCCGTTCTAGGCCTCGGAGGCCCAGGCCTGCATCAAATAAGAGAACCAGTTGTTCAGGTATTTGAATTCCACCACTGGTTGTAAGTATCTGGATTTGCTGGCACCTTTCAACGAGGACATCAGAGGAAGTCCCCTTTGGTGTACTTCGATGCAGGCCCTACTTCAAAGGGGAGATCTTTGAAAGGGTCTCCACCAACACTGATCCCAGAGTTGAGTTTGGTTTTGCCACTGGGATTAACTGTTGAAATTCTCCATTTTTCAGGAAGTCCCGTTCCTTTTGGGATTATCTTTGGAGGCACGGATGTTAACGAAGACGCCAAAAGTGAGGAGAAGGCCCCGATTATGGAGAAAGTGTTGGATGAAGCCAGGTAAAGAAATGTCCCTCCTAGTCCTCCTTATTGTTCTATCGAGAATCAGTTGAAATCTATTTGGACCTTTGTCCCCAAAGTGTGTGTTTTGTTTTTTTTCAAAAGGACACTGGACTTTCTTGGTGTTTTCTTTGAAATCATTTCGCTTCTCATGCAAGAAGCTTGAATGAGCCGTGGTGGCGCAGTGGTTGGAATGCAGTACTGCAGTTTGGCAGTTCGATCCTGACCGGCTCAAGGTTGACTCAGCCTTCCATCCTTCCGAGGTCGGGAAAATGAGGACTCAGATTGTTGGGGGGCAACAGGCTGAGTCTGTAAACCGCTTAGAGAGGGCTGTGAAGCACTGTGAAGCGGTATATAAGTCTAAGTACTATTGCTAGTGCGATTACTCCTTCCTTCCTTCCTTCCTTCCTTCCTTCCTTCCTTCCTTCCTTCCTTCCTTCCTTCCTTCCTTCCTTCCATGGTGCTCACTGGTTAGAATGTAATATTGCAGGCTTACTCACTGCTCATTGCCAGGAGTTCGATCCTGACCGGTTCAAGGTTGACTCAGCCTTCCATCCTTCCGAGGTCGGTAAAATGAGAACCCAG